GGTGCCTGGGAGGAGCAGGAGCAGCTGGGGGTGCCTGGGAGGAGCAGAAGCAGGAGCAGCTCGGGGTGCCTGGGAGGAGCAGAAGCAGGAGCAGCTCGGGGTGCCCGGGAGGAGCAGGAGCAGTTCGAGGTGCCTGGGAGGAGCAGGAGCCAGAAGCAGGAGCAGCTCGGGGTGCCTGGGAGGAGCTGCCTGGGGAGGAGCAGGAGCAGCTCGGGGTGCCTGGGAGGAGCAGGAGCAGCTCGGGGTTCTCGGGCGCCCTCGGAGCAGCTGGGGATGTGCAGCACCGGGCCCGTGCTGCCGGCTCGGTGACAGCCCCGCAGCCTCTCCGGCCATGTCGGCGCTCTGGAGGGGGAACCGAAAGCTGCGGAGCGAGAGCGCCGGCAGGGACGGGGACTCCCTGTTCCGAATGCTGTACCTGGTGAGCAGATGCGAGGGGATGGGCTCAGGAGCCGGCGCTTAGGGGATCGTGCAGGTTCCGAATCGCTGAGCTGCGAGGTGTGTGCCCTGCGGGGGCTCTTTGTTGCCGTGCCGCAAGGATGCGGTTTGCCTGGCTTTGTTCGGGTGGGCGCTGCTGGCCAGAGGTGAGCTGTGCTGTTCCAGGGAGAGTTCCTGATGCCCAGGCACCCGGCATGGCAAACACGGGAGGAAACGGCTTTCAGCAGCCAAAGCTCTCCGCTGTGGTTGTGCTGGATGTCCTTGATCCTCCTCCGCGGGAGGGATGTGATCTTGGCCCCTCTGCTGAGCCCCTTCCCGAGCGGGGGGTTAATGTTTGTGAACTCCACTTTTCAGCCCGGTTGTGGCAGTCCTCGGTCTCATTTCCAGCTTGCCTAAAGGGATTGCCTGTGGGATTGTGCCTGAAGTGTGCTGCTGTAATTCTCCTAGAGAAATCCTGGTTTTGTGCTGTCATTGTCACTGCTGGCAGAGCTGGTGCAGGGAGATAAAAGGATCTGTTTCTCTTCCAGACCTCCCCTACTCTACCCACTTTCTCTGGGAAAATGGGGGCAGAGGGGTTTTTGTGAAATCTGCTTGAGAGTTTTCACCAAAGTAGCTGTGCTCTGAAGCCCCCATGTGCAATGTGTGTCTGCTTTGTGTCTGAAAGGGACTTTTTAAGGGGAATACAGGGTTGTGCTCGGGGATGAAGCGCAGCAGTTGTCGCAGGTGGACTCATGCATTTTAGTTCTAGGAGAGAAACAACAATATTTTTATTGTTAGGGTCTGATAAGGGAACCAGGTTTGCTGGTCAATACGATGGTGGTTTAACAAGGCTTGATGGTGAGGCTCACTCAGTTGTTTACTGCAACCTCCCATTGAGGCATGAGGGTCAGAAAGGACCCTCTGAATTGCTAAATTCAAGGTTTAGGTGCAGCTGGATCTGCTTTAGTCCCAGACTTGGTCAGTGGTTTATGTCTGAAGGATGATACGTGCACAGCTTTACAGCCTTTGGCTGACAATACAAAGTGTCCTAATCACTTGCCAGGGCTCTGTGGTGGCCAAGAACCCTCAGCCTTGAGGAGACACCTTGGGAGACCTTCCCACTCGGGTGTGGTCACACCCAGAGCCATTTGTTCCATGGACAAGCACGAGAAGAGGTTTGTGAAGATGAGTGAGCTGGAGACTGCCCCAGGGGTGTGCTGATCCGGGGGCAGTTCCCAGGAGGTGCGGGGCAGGGCTGTGGCTGGAGCCACGAGCGGTTTATTGAGTGTGCACAAGTGGAGATAAGGCTTTGGGAAGTCCTCCCCACTTCCTTCCTGCCATATGGGTGTAACTGCTCCTGCTGGGGCGCACCACATGTCTCTGGGAGTTATTTCAACTTCAGCGCTGAGCTGGTGTTTCACACCCTGAGCAGATTTTCGCTCTCTCTTTCTGGGTGACCCATATTTCCCTGCAGGAGCGTGCACAGGATGGGGTGGCAGGCAGGAACTGCTTAAAACACTTGGTTTATTTTGGGGTTTGATTCCAGATTGTGCTTTATGCGTTACAGCTGGTGTTATTTGTACATTTGGATCTTAAAGCAAAACACCACTGGACACATCTGCCTTAAGCAGTGCTAACAAAGCCAAATGTTGCTGAGCAAACCCTTGCCTGTCCCAGGGCTCTGCAGGCTCACATTATTGTACCTGAGCTGTCAGCTCTCTGTGCCTTCCCAGCAGAGCAGGGGACTTGGGAAGGTGTTTTAACCTGTGCTGCAGCCAGGCTTTCACCTACTGCCCTTGGTGGATTTGGGGCTGTTGGGATCAAGGTCACACCTGCTGAAATCTGATGCAGATCTAATCTAAAAGTTTGGGTGTGCTTTATACTTAAAAGCACAACAAGTATAGGTGGAACCTTGCTGAGAAATAACAGGAATTATTGAATAATTAAGATTAGTAAATACAGCATGCCAGGAGTAGAGTGAGTTGGAGATGGACTGGTCCAACTCACAGCTTCCTCCTGCCCTCAACTTGCAGTACTTTTCCTTTCTTTCACACCTGAGTTAAACCTCAGGAACTGAAGGTGAATAATTTCCCTGTAATAAAGTGTCAACACAAACAGTTTTGTGTTGACAACCAGTTACAATGAGTTCTTGGCTTACTTGTGTATTGAAGAAAATGATCCATTGTGTAATGAGCATCTTTGCTCATGTGCTGTGCAGAGACCTCAGGGGAGCATCTGCAGTCCCAAGAGACCTCTAAGGAAAGGGAGTAGAAATCCTTCCTTGTCCTAGCATGGCTTGTATGTGCATGGAGAGGGAATAGCTCTGTGTGAACAGACTGCATGGCTTAAAAAACATGGAGATCACAACTACCAGTGGGTGGGAGTGAAAGTGATGTCCCAGGGGCAGAGCTTTGTCTCCACTGCAAGGTGGTGATGTGCTTTATTTTCTCTTTTTTTTTTTTCTCTTTTTTTTCCCTTTTTCCTTTTTTATTTTCTGTTTTGTTTTGTTAGGTTTTTTTTGTTAGTTTTTTTCTCCTCTGCTCTCTTTACATTTTTCTGGTTGAACAGGCTGATTTTGAGTCAGTTGTTTCACAGAATTACAGAGTTACCCATGTTGGAGAACACCTCTGAGACCATGGGGTCCAAGCTGTGCCAAATCCTCACCTTGTCACCCAGCCCAGAGCACTGAGTGCCTCTTCCAGGAATTCCTTGGACACCTCCAGGGATGGGGACCCCAAACCTCCCTGGGAGACTCTGCCAGTGCCTGTCTACTCTTTCCATGGAGAAATTGCTGAGCTGGGGGCTATAGAGGCAGTGCTGGGAAATCACTGAACCCGGATTAGATCCTCTGGCAGGATTATCAGGTGTGGTCACTGGAGCAGCTCTTTTCCCTCCAGGTTTCTGGGAGGGATGGAGAACAGCCCACGGCTGCCTTGGCAATCCTGGAAGCCTGGGGCTGTCGTCACTGACACCAGAGACTATTCCTATTCCAAACTCTTGGGTGTAATGAAAGATGTGAGGAAATGATCTAACACGAGGGGGTGAAGTGAGGATAACTGGCTTTTTATATAGGCAGCTGATTAAATATTAAAGGAAGCGGCGAGATGGAGCAGCTCTGGGAAGCAGCACTTACGGGGAAGGAGTTCACCCTGCGAGGCACATTCCCAGACACAGCTTAGGGATCCAGCTGCTTTCCCAAAGAGCTCGTGCTTGGTGCCTGGAGGGGCTTTAGCTGGGAGGCTCTGCTTGCCCAAACCCCAGCAGGAGTGGTTTGTGCCTGTGTGTCACAGGATGCTGCAGCCCCGGCTGGAGAACTGGCAGGGGGCTGGGGTGTGTGTTTGGTTTGCCCAGGCGTTTTTGGTTCCCCATTCTTGGCCCTTTCTGTGAGTTTGTCAATCTCGAGTGCTGGACGGAGCTGTTTTAATGAAAATTCACGTGTCTGAAACCAGGAATGGAGTCGAACAGAACTTCAGTTAATTTGAATTCTGCTACTCCTTTCTTTTCCTTTATCCCCAGTTACAGAGAGACAGGATAGACACTTGTGGTGCCTGTTGAAAAGTCCCCAAACCACCACTGCCCAGATGCAAGCCCTCCTCAGCCCCTTCGTTCCTCTGGCTCTGGTTTCCAATGTTACCACTGCTCTTTCCTTTCCCTTCTCTCCAAAGAGCACAGAGCAGGTCGCAGCTTTCTGTCGCAGTCTGCATGAAATGAACCCCTCTGACTGCAGTGCTCCCCCCCAGGACTGTGCAGGGCCCCAGCTGAGCACCATGAGGCAGCTCACAGACGCAGACAAGCTGAGGAAGGTCATCTGTGAGCTCCTGGAGACTGAGCGTACCTACGTCAAGGTGAGGGGGCTCAGCCCCAGCTTTCCTGCAGAACTCTCTTGCTTTCTGCTCTGCTGCTTCAGGCTGGGTGTCGTGTCCCTGTCTGCTGCTGAACTCAGTTCTACAAGCTGTGCCTAAGGTACAGCTTCAGCCACCGAAATAAGGCATCTCCAAGTGCTTAGGCTGTTTTCCTTTTCAAAGGGCTTAGCTGGTGAGCAATTACTGCTCGCTGAGATCTGCTATTGGCTTTAACTAGAAGTGTGTAAATGTTTCCTTTTCCTGCCTGAAATTGTGGGCAATCCAGCTATTTCGTGTTGTGTGTAAAAAGGAAAAAATTCTCAGATTAGGCAAGCAGCATTTGCCACCTCAGTAAATATCCAGAGGGACCAACGTGGGAATCTTTTTCTGAATTTTTAGGACTTAAATTGTCTGATGGAGAGATACCTGAAGCCTCTGCAGAAAGAAACCTTCCTCACGCCAGATGAGGTATGTCGACCTTCGCTTGTCTTTTTGCCAGAGAGCTTTTGCCTGCCCCTCCACTCTGCCCACCCAGCTGGGCTTGTTTGACTGAAATTAATTTCACTGAATTCCATTTCCTTCAAATAATGGATTAAGTAGAGCATCGAGGTGCTGCTCAGTAATGTCTGCAGCTTGTTTTTTCCTGGCACCACATTGATTATACAATTGGACTGAGAATTGCTGCAGTTAGAGAAAACACAATTTAGCCTCAAAGTGATATTTTCAGCATTCTGCTTTTTTTTCTTCTTTTATTAGCTGGATGTTCTCTTTGGGAATCTGACTGAAATGGTAGCATTCCAGGTAGAGTTCTTGAAAACTCTGGAAGACGGAGTAAGGCTGGTTCCAGACCTGGAAAAGCTTGAAAAAGTAGAGCAATTTAAGGTAAAAAATTTTTCTTTTATATATTGAAAACACATTATTTGCACTGTCTCATTGTTTAAATTTTGAGGAGACCTTTAACATTCTCCATCACATTTTTCTGACTCTTGCCACTGTTCATGTAGAAACCTTCATCTGCTTCCATTTAAGATTAATTTTCAGCTGATGCTGGTGCTGCTGAAAAATTTTCCTGCTGCAATTGTAGTTTATGCTACATTTAGCCATATAGAGCACTAGAAACCATGTGCTTTTTGGTTCTATTCTTGCCCTTCTGCCAGATTTCTTGCCTTGAGCTGTCAGGAAATGCTAGAAATGGAAAGTTACATAAAATCTTTGTCCTGACAAGTCTCATGTTCAGAAGCCCTCTGGGGCTACAGATCAGAACAATATGTGGAATTTTGTATTTCCACTTGCACTCCATGGTGGCAAATACTTCTGGCTTGCAGCAGGTGTGCATCTTCACAGGTAGAACTGTAAACTGTGCCTCTGTGAGCTTCATTTAAAACCCAGGGAAATGTAGAAACAAATTTCATTTTGTGTCTAAGGCAGTGGAGGCATGGCAAGGAGGTGATAGAATGTTTTTCCTTTGGAGAATTCCACTCTGGCTCTGAGTACCACTCACCTTGGTAAAGGACAGGATAAGTAGTAACAGTAATAATAATAATAATTCCTCTGGTGCTCTGTAAGAGTGCCAGTGAAGGGTCCTTCCAGAGAAAACTCCATCTCCTGAGTGTTGCTTCCAGCTCTTCCCATAAAAACTGCACTGAGCTCGCTTTCAGTTCTGCCCCTGGGCCCTGTCTGAGAGCAGGGTGTGAAATGTGGGGTTCTGTGGTTTCAGTTCTGCAGTTTGCTTCCCCCTCTCCCAGTCACTGTCCCCAGGCTGCCCACATGTGGTCTCAGCCCCTCAGCGGGTGCTGTCTGGTTCCCAAGACATTTTGGGACTGTGTCTGACCCTGAGCACCAGCTCATTTCCAAGCAGGTGAGCCCCTTGGTGTGTTTGTGAGGGATGAGTGTTGCTTGCAGCTCTCCAGAGCCCTGATCCATTGCAGGGTCCGGCACATCCAGTCCTCTCTGTGGCCTCTGGCCATTGCTGAGGTCAGTGGGGCTTTTAAACGGAGCTCTGGAGGTGGGAGCCCAGTCCCTGTGGAGTTAGTGCTGTCTTTAGGATGGGACTTGGCTGATGATGCTGATTGCAGAGGCTGAATCCACACACCTGGGCTAGCCCTGTTTCATGGTGGATAAAAACCATCACAGAATGGTTTTGGTGGAAGGAACCTCAAAGATCCCCCAGTTCCACCCCCTGCACTATCCCAGGCTGTTCCAAGCCCTGTCCAGCCTGGGCTTGGACACTTCCAGGGATCCAGGAGCAGCCACAGCTTCTCTGGGCACTCTGTGCCAGGGCCTGCCCACCCTCACAGGGCAGAAGTCCTTCCCATTATCCCATCTAAACCTACTTTTATTTTAGTTTGAAGCCATTCCCCCTTGTCCTGTCACTCCAGCTCCTTGTCAAGAGTCTCTCTCCATCTTCCTTGCAGGCTCCCTTCAGGCACTGCAAGACCACAAGGAGGTCACCCCAAAGCTTCTCTTTTCCAGGCTGAACATTCCCAGCTCTCCAGCAGAGCTGCTCCACCCCTCTGATCATCCTGGTGCCTCCTCTGGGCTCACTCCAGCATTGATGTCTTGGTGTGCAAACACACTAAAACTGCATTGTCCTGTCCTCCAAAAGCTGGGTGGAAGCCTCAGATGACCTGGCTGAAGGCAGAGTAACTAAATACCTTTTTCCTATTAAGTTTTGTTTTCTTTTAATCCCAGAAAGTGTTGTTCTCCCTGGGTGGATCCTTCCTGTACTACGCTGACAGGTTCAAGCTGTACAGTGCCTTCTGTGCCAGCCACACGAAAGTCCCCAAAGTCCTGGTGAAAGGTAAGAGCCCCTTTCAGAGCCATCACAGCCACATGTTGGTTGTGCTCATGGCACCCCAAACCTCTCAGGGCAGGAATGGGGGCACACACGTGCCTGGCTGCTCTCCAGGAGCCTTTGGAGTAGGGAGTTAAGCTTGGAGAGGCTCCCAGAGCGCTCTGTGCCGTGGGTGCTGTGGGACCACCCCATAGTGACACCTGAACAGCTCGTTACAGGAGGTGGCTCACCTTGCTTGCAGCTTTTCTCTTCCCACATTTTGTTCCTTCTGCCTTGCTGTGTTTGGTTTGTTTTCAGTCATGTGGGAAGATTTCCTAAATGGGGATCCCATTGTGGCTCTGTGCTGATGTGTCACTGCGTACTCTGGAACCAGGAGTGGTGGCTCTGCAGTGACCTCTGGATCCTCCTGGAGGCTGTGCCAGGAATCCTTGCTGGTGGCAATCCCATGGGAGCCCCAGCCACTAGGAGAGGATCAGCCTGGGAGAATGTTTTATGGAAGCTGGAGAAATATTTTAGTCCTCTCTCCCCTCTCTCCTTCCTTCATTCCAATTTGCCTGAGAAGTTCCCTTGTCAGAATTCCTAGCAGAGCTTGGCTTGCTGAGGTGGAGATAAAAACCCTGTGGTCTGGCTCCTGGGCCAGCTTGTCTTGCAGAGATGTTTTCCCCTGTGGAAGTGTAAATCTCCTGGAGTTACCAGTGCTTCGTGCAATTCCTTTTTGGCCAAGACATTAAACAAACAACAGGCTCCAGTTGTAGCAGCAGTACTCCTTCTGAAGGAGGAACTCTTGTTTTTCAAACAGCATCTGGATGTCTGACAGTCAAAGATTTTGAGTTCTTTTGCTTCTTGGTTGGTTTGGGTTTTTTGGGGGGGTGTTTTTGGTATGTTTTTTTCTGTGTGCTTTTCCTTTTTTCATTTCTGCTTGTCAACTTTTTATTCCCTGTGCTGCGAAGTATACTTGGCAGCTCTGTGGAATACATAAATAAATGATTTGTTGCTAGTCACATCCATGCTTTCTTTTGACATTATTTTATTGGTAGACTAGGTAGATCTGTTTATTTTGCTTTTCTTTTCCATTGCTGACTGTGTTTATAAATAAGAAACTGTTGTGCTCGAATTACGGCATAAACAGAATTTAGAATTCTATTCCAGAGGTAAATCTCTTCAAAAGCCTGGGAGTGTATTTCAGAGGTGCACACACTTGGTGTCCTCAGCTGAGGTGCAGGTGGCTTTTGCATTTGGAACTCAAGTTGCTTTATGGAAATCAGGGGACTGCCTGCAAAAATCCCCCAACCCCAGCAGGGGACATGACTCTAATAAAAGCAATTGTGTGGAATTGCTCCTGCACTGAATAATTTGTATATCTATAAATACCACCTCCTCCTTCCTTCCCTCCTTATGCTTCAGTGGAGGGAGCAACAGAGAAAATGGCAGTTTTATAAATTTACAGCAGTCAGGTAGAAAAGATGATGGCAATCAGCTGTCCAGTCTGCCCATGTTCCCAAAATCTGGTGCATTAGAGGCTCCTGCCTCTCGCCAGCTCCCGATGGTTGTTGTGACTCAGTGCTGCATTTTAAGGTTTAATGAGGTAACAAGAGCCAGACTTGCCAATATTGTGGGTGCATCATGGCTTAGAAGTAGTGACTTCTCACAAATGTCCAATTTGAGACTTTGCTGAAAGGGAGCAGATGATTAAAACACTTTGTGCTGCTCTAAAATAGTTGCCAGAAGTACTTAGTGCTGTCTGCAGCTCCTCCCGAGAGGCAGCTCCAGTCTCTGCTCCCTGGGACAGGGACTGACCCAGGGAAGGGCTGGAGCTCTGCCAGGGGAGGTTTAGGTTGGGTTTTAGGGAAAGGCTCTTCCCCCAGAGGGTGCTGGCACTGCCCAGGCTCCCCAGGGAATGGGCACAGCCCCGAGGCTGCCAGAGCTCCGGGAGCCTTTGGACAGCGCTCTCAGGGATGGCCAGGGTGGGAATGTTGAGGGTCTGGGCAGGGACAGGGGCTGCCCTGGATGATCCTTGTGGGGCCCTTCCCACTCAGGAAATTCTATCATGGATAGTGAAATTAAAAATTGCCCGTGCTGGAGGTGGATGCCTGCTGTGAAATTCTAAATAGCACATCCGGGGAGAGTGTCAGTGACTCAAATCCTGGAGGGTGTAAATCTAATTCTGCAAGCCCAGTAAATCTGCACTTCCTTACAAAATGTCTCCAGATAAACCAATTTAAACCTGGAAAAGTCACTTTCTCAGGGCAGCAGTTAGGCTTTTTCATTGATCCAATGGCTTCCTTTGAATCTTGCAGCCAAGACAGACACTGCTTTCAAGGCGTTCCTGGATGCCCAGAACCCGCGCCGGCAGCACTCCTCCACCCTGGAGTCTTACCTCATCAAACCCATCCAGAGGATACTCAAATACCCCCTCCTGCTCAAGGAGCTCTTTGCTCTCACTGACGTGGATAGTGAAGAACATTATCACCTTGATGGTAAGGACCTAACCCCACTTTTCTCTGTTTCACCTCTGCTCTTGAACTTCCTGCCCTCCTTTCCTCTCAGAGAGTTAAAATTCTCTTTTGCTCATCCCCTGTCTCTCTTCCAGTGGCCATCAAAACTATGAACAAAGTTGCCAGCCACATTAATGAAATGCAGAAAATCCATGAAGAATATGGGGCAGTGTTTGACCAACTCATAGCAGAACAAACAGGGGAGAAAAAAGAGGTAACAATCAGATGTAGAGAGGAAAGGGCTGTTATTGTGGTGCCTGCAAAATGGATCCAGTATTTGCCTTTCCTGCTGTGCCATTGAAGTAAATCCTGGTGCAAACAGATAAATCCCAGCTCAGTTCAAGATCTGAATAGCATTGGATTGAATTCAGACTTCACTGAGGGGAGGGTGGAGGGATGGGATAACATCCCTCTGGCCTGGGGATGGCCCTCAGTTTGTCACTCTGCAGGACCATAAGGAGAAAGGTCTGCTTGCTGCATCCCCCAGCAGTTGGGAACTCCTTTCTTAGTCTGTTCCCAGCAATGTGGTGTCCATAGAGGAGCCTTTAGGCAAAGTCAAGAGCCACAGCAACTGTGGGAAGGGGGTGCTTTGGCCACTGCATCTGATGCAGTCCCTAAACTTTACCCCAAACTGAATGTGTGCTTAAATATTCCAACAAAATACTAAGAAACTGGTAGGGAGAGAAATGGACAAAGGGGAACAAAAGGCAAAGAAAACATCTGGTTTTGACCCTGGTTTCCAAGAGCTGGACTCTTGAGTTTAACTCAGCCAAATTTATGCTCATTAATTAAGGGTTTACATGCATCTGTTTGAAGTCAGCTGATGAAATACTCCAGAAGTTTGCTGGGGGGAATTTTGTTCAGGACTAGACTTCATGCAAGTTTTCTTGAGCTGCAAACCCACATCAGATTCCATGAGCTGATTAAAACCCTCTCCTCTGTGCATGTGTTGGTGTTGGCAGGTCGCCGACCTTTCCATGGGGGACTTGCTCCTGCATAACACAGTGATATGGCTGAACCCTCCTGCTTCCCTGGGCAAGTGGAAGAAGGAACCTGAGCTGGCAGCGTTCGGTTTGTATCCCAGGACTTTTATTCCAGATGCCTTAAAGACTGTCAGCTATGCCTAAAAAGTAACTGAGCATCACCTTCCCCAGGGTTGGCTGGAATTTAAACATGGGCTTGTCTGTGCTGCAATGCTCAGTTCTGCTCTCTGGTAGTTCTCCTGCCTCAGGCTAAAGGTTTGGGAATAGAGGAGACCCATTCCAAGCCCTATGGATGCTCTTGAGGAGAGGCTGGGGGAGCTGGGCCTGGTCACTCTGGGCAAGGGAAGGCTGAGAGGGGACCCCTCAGTGC